AGAGGGATAATATGATGTGAGAACCTTTTTTTTTAAGTTAATTTATCAACTCCCTTGTGGAGAGTGTGAAATCACAATCAAATAATTTCTTATTTTTTTCCTTGATTGTTTCAGCTGGAATTTGATCAAGAAGTGTGGAGACATCTTGTTGACCCAAATCTGGAACCACTAGATTCCCCTGGCAAAATCTTTTCCCCCTTGCACTTGCCGTGGTACAGTCTTTGTTCGAATGACATGCATTTACCTATCTATATGATGTGGGTCCAGACCACAATGCGGTTCAGTCTCCTTATGGAACAAACGAACTGTATATGGCTGTGCACTTATCTAGAGTCCTAGCTACCTCAGATGAACAGACCTGTGAAGATTCTGGCAGTAGCAAGAATTTGGCTGTTGAAGCAGCCCAGACACAGGTATGCCGAAGTCTCCAAGTCCTAGCTACCTCAGATGAACAGACCTGTGAAGATTCTGGCAGTTCCAAGAATTTGGCTGTTGAAGCAGCCCAGGCACAGGTATGCCGAAGTCTCCAAAACCTGCAAGGCTTTATGATTTTGCAAGTTCACAATTTAACTTTGGACTTTTGTAGTCTCCAACTCAAATGCCATGAGTTTGCTAATTTTAATGATGCTTGCATATCAATTTATTCTGCATTTTGTTGTTGTGTTCCATGTGTTGTGTTATTAGACAACTTCTCATACTAGGAAAATTGACTTTTTTTTCCTTCCTGCACTCCAGTTTGATCCTGAAGGATCAAGCAATAATAGCAATGCCGTCAACAATGCTGATATTTCTGGACCTGAAATCAAATTAAGGACTCACCAACCTCATGATCAACGACGGGTCGAAAACTTTGGGCCACAGGGTACACGAAGAAAGCGCGAAGGGCCGTTTTTCGTTTATCTTACCCCAGCAATTTTAGAGATTTGAGCTACAGGGAAGAAAACCATGAAGCAAAAGTAGTAGTAGCTAAGGTGAGAAGTTTGTCAGCAACACTTGTGTATAGATTGGGTTAATGCCTCTTCTTGGATTGTAAACTCCATATCTATAATTGCCTTTTTTTATTTTGCAGGCTGGAGAAGCTGAAGAAAAGCTTAGTGTCACCGCTGATCCTGCTGCTATCGTAGATGAGACCCAGGATACATCCCTTTCCAAGTCCAATGATGTCACAACACTTGTTCAAGAACAGGCTTGGATCATGAAATCAGGAAGTGATTTTCCAAGAGGCGGCGACAAAGAGGTTCCCTCTGTGTCATGGATAGCTCTTCCATGTCCTCATCTATGTATGTGCTTGGGGTACTTTTGGCTATAGGTTTACTATTGTCATTATATGGGTTTATGGAGATGGCTTGAGTTTTGAATTTGATTAGAGAAGAGACCTTATTTTGTGTATGATTGGCCCCCTAGTTAATGTTTTAATCAGGTAATTAAGATACAATGGATAGGGTAATTATGTCTATATCAACTTCTTATATACAACAGCATTCTAAGTAATATTCTGAAATGGAAGCCTTCTTGTACACGATGTACTATTCGGAGATGTGTTCTGTATTTATGTTGTAGCTCCAAGTTCGGTAAACCTTTCAGTTTACTGGATGTGGGTGATTTCAACCCTTTCTTTTTTTTTTTTTCTCTTCATTTATCTATCTAATTTGATTTCTCTTGCCAAAAGTGGGCAAAATTTTCGGAAGGAACCCACATCTCACTTTTGCTTTTCCCCGACCTATTTTTGGGACTGACCCTGAATGACTACTGTTTTTTAACTAAAAATTGACCCTAGTTTGAATGACTTTTACTCTTTTCACTGAGACAAACCCGAGAAACGGTTTATTCTTCTACCCTTAATTAGTTAGGGAAAAGCAAGTCCTTTACTTAAAAAAAAAATAAATAAAAAGTTAACAGCTCTTTCAGCTGTTTCCTAATCCGCCAACATGCTCAAGAGCCAAGAGCTGTAGGGAGCTTCTTTATTTAACAGAGATAGGGAGGTCACAGTGTGACAAAAATAAATAAATAACTAAGAGAAGAAAATCTGTTCGTTTGGTCCCTTCTCTGTGCACCTATTTTCCTCTGCAATTTATTTATTTATTTTTAAATGGGAGGCAGCTGTTTAAGATTAATTTAAAGATAGTAAGGTGATTATCTCGAAGAATAATCTAAGTTGGATTATCAATAATAAGTTTACTAACACACAAATGCCAATGAAAATATTATGTACCCTTAAAGATGTATATTGCATGCATCATATAAGAATATGCGTAATATAATCACGACAAGTCGTAAGATTTTTTTTACCAGAATGATTCATGAATCATAACATTTCTACTTCAACATGATTTGGAGATGATTTGGGACAGGGAGATGGAGAGAGAAAATTGGTCACTGGTTCAAGCATGAAACCATGAAACTATAGTAAACCTGTCTCTATCTCTCTCTCTCTCTCTCTCCATTTGTAGATGCCCAACTCTGGGAATTAATTAATTCTGGCTCAGTTGGCTGTGAGCCACAAGAAGTGAAAGATATGGATAGGAAAAAGCCTAATTATCCCGATTGTATCCCTGCATTCAAACCTAGGAGTAAGGAGAGGCGTCCTTTCATTGTAGCCGATATGGAGACGGTTCTAATAAATGACGTTCATGTTCCTTACACTGCGGGTTTCTTAGTGGTTAAGCCGGGTGATGATGTTGGTGCCAAGCCTGATTATTCTATTGAAACATATTTCAGTGAAGATTACCAAATGGTAATACTAGATTTTGAAGAAAAGAGTAATCATATGTTGTTCGACTTTCTAGAGCGTTTAGCAGTGGTTACCGCTGAAACAAAGATTCGAACTTGGTAAGCGAGTATTAAATAGGTTGCATGGGGTTGAGACCTTTTGGATCCTTTTTCTTGAAGGGTCAAATCTGGACCTTTGTCACAACCTTAAAGCTTTTTTAATTACTATAATCGAGCTTTTGGAAGTGTATAAGGTTAAAATATCACATTTAGAAACTGTGAGATGCAAGAGACAAAGTGTAGTAATCACATGAATAAATAAACAATAAGAGAGCTAAACAAATTAATGAAGTAATGACAAATTCTCATTCCTGCTAGGAAATTCAGATGATTTATTATCGTAAGTTAAAAACGATGCTAAAGTTGGAGACAAAGTACTCTCTTGATGGAAGATGTTACCAAAGCAAAGATTACTCCACTCACAGTTTGAGACAAAGGTTTCCCCTTTATATAATTAAAGAAAAAGGAAAGAAAAACAGTGATTGTTTTGTTTTTTATTCTGTTTTTTTCTTTATAGAGGTTATTATTATAAATATATATAATAACGCTCAAGATATATGTTCAAAAGTATACAGGAATAGAATTCAAAATAAAACGACACAAGATTAGCTTAAAAATAAAGGAGAAATTACCAGTAAATTCCAAATTAGGGAATGATGATCCATTTAATCCTTTATTTTTTTTTATGAACCATTTGATTCTATTTAATTGGTAAGGAATATTTTCCTTTGATTTGGTACGGGCGGAGTTTACACATTTACCCTTGTTATAATTTTGGTAGATTCTTTTTTGCTTATTTGTATGTAATAATTGAGATGATAACGCTTTACATTTCTATTTTTGTGTGTTGATTTTTATAGAGTGATATACGATGGATGAGTTTCAATTGCTAATATTATTTTATTCATTAACATTAATACGGTTAACATTACATTTTTACTACTACAAATGTTATTAACATTTCATATCACTACCAACAAATTATGTGAGTACTGCTCGCATATCAATAATTACTAATACATAATGCATCATTACAATGACTGAACATTCACACACATTACACTATTAATTGTTGTACTGCGTGCGTTACGTGACAGAGCATTGTAAAAACATACAACCCCCTGATAACATTGACCCGAACATGTGTATTGCCCAAAAAAGCCACATCTATCATTCCCGTTAACATGTGTATGACCCAAAAAAAAAAAACAAAGCAACGTAAAAACATGACATTACAAAGCATTGTTTAAAAAAAATAAATAAACATTGTAAAAATATACAACTGAAATAAACAAATCTTAGCTCCATGATAACATGACCCAAACATGACATTACAACAACCACATGCAATAATATACGAAATAGACAACCAAAACCCTAATCTAAACCATTGTCAGCCCCTAAACATCCACATCAGGGCTTGCAAACATCGGCAATACACACGCCAACAAATGACCCACAAACATCGGTCGACAGACACTTCACTAACACGTACATAATATTTCCACAAACACAGTCCACCACAACCACCACCAAAACAATCATGTAAAACGATCACACATTACACATTAAACATCACCGAAACACAACCCCAAATACATTTCAATGTACACAGAAGGATGGTAATACATACCTTCATTTCACATTGCATTCTTACTCAACACCAACTTCACGATCGGATGACCTCTTCATAGCTGAAACCAATTTTAAATGTATTAACCCTCGCCGTCGCAGACCTCATCCGCCCCAATTTTTGTGCCGTTTGTGAACCGATGTTAGGCTTGACAAACGTTCTTAGGGTTTGGTCAATGTTAGGGATCCTAATTCACAAATGTGTGGGATCTAGGTTTGCTAAATCGACACCGAAAACCATGCGATTCCCATTTACATTGCACCAAAAACCACGTCAGTGTTGATGAACGTTACAGATATCCATAGAATCTTTCCAAACATGCAATCTGAAATTCAATTAACAACATATAAAAGAAGCCCCAAATGTGTAATTTCCACATAAGCGAACTACCAGATTTACCCCCTTATTATTCCACAACTCCCCCATACTTATTAGTGTCATTTTCTGTGAATCACACTATAATAGGACTTATTGATCTACACAAATAAACACAAGACTAAACAATTATTTATTGGTGCATCACCAAAAAATAAACTCAAGCCGGCCAACAAAAACATTCTTTCTTACTTGAGAAGAGTCATTTATTTATTTTTTTGTTAATCTATAGAGAAAAATAAAATAAAAAGTTGTATTGTGTAATTATAGTAAAAGAGTGTCTAAACATTTAGAGCTGGTTTGACAATTTTAAAAAAAGTCAAAAAGTTATCACTATTCATAAAAAAAAAATACAAAAATTAATATACAGATATAAATACAAATCAACTTTTTGGCCCATCAACGTATTGATGTCAAAGCAACTGCAGTGAAAGGGAAAAAAAAAATTACATGTGTACATTCACTAAGTTGGATGGTAAAGTTGGGCCCGTGGGGGCTTACCATGGGTCCCGTTTTGATAATCTGAACTGCTGAATATGTAGAACTCGTCTAGTACTATATGTCTGTAAAAAATCACATCTATCGAATATCGCTAACTACATGATCAAATCAGTTTTGTATAAAAAATGAATGGTGTTATAGTTAATAGTTGACAAAAAAATTAACAGGATCAGATAACTATCGATATCTATCAACGTGATTTTTTATAAGCATATAGTACTTGACAAGTTTACACATTGTACCGTTCCGATTAGAAAAACGGAACCCGTGGTAGGCTCCCACGGCCAACAATACTGTCTAATCAAAGCCCGAAAATCTTTTCCCATCTACTCACCCAGCCGATTGCACTGCTAATCCGTACGGCCTACTATACTATCTTCCTCTACACACTTATTTATACAATTTTTTAATACACATTTTTTCATAAAAAGTTAACCCAAACAATTTTTAATACATATTTTTTCAAATAAAAGTCAAAGAGTTAACTCAAACATCTATATTTTTCTCCTCAACTTTTTAATTTAAAAAAATAAAAGTATACTTATTTAGGACATCCTAAGAAACCCTTTACTTTTAAAACTCGCATGTAAGTAGATAGAATTACTCTTAACCTTTTGATGAGATGCAAAAATTCTAAAGAAGTAGACTAAACTTTTCTCATCGTCCATAGATTGAGTGTTTGTGGTGAAAGATGAGCTTCCAATTAATTTCCATTGTCCATTTCTCTACTTCTTAAGGGTATAATTGAAAAGGATGACAACATGAGATAGAAGGAAAGGGGAAATGCATTGGAATAATTTTAAAATAATTGTATTATAAGTAAAATATTTTTTAGTACATACACAGAAAAAAAAAAACTTGCACTAAACACAGAAAATAACTTACGTTATACCAAAAAAAAAAAAAAAAAAAGCAGTTAAATCTCATAAAAATGAAATTATTTTTCTAATGTAAACTGAAATGCAATTTCTCAATAATGGCTCCAAATCCTCCACCACCAAAAGACAGTGGGAGTGTTTGTTTCAGCTTTTTAGAGCTAATTTATGGCTTTTTAACTTTGAAAAAGTTATTTTGAAACCCATAAAATTCTCTAAAAAGCTGAAAACAAACACTCCCACTGTCTTTTGGTGGTGGAGGATTTGGAGCCATT